GGGTTTCTTGAGAATTATTATTAGGTGCTGTTGAGTAGTTCTGACTCATAGTGACATTATGTACAACAGAATAAAACACTGCCCAGTCCTGTGCCATCCTCACAATTGTTGCTATGTTTGCGCCCACTGTTGTAGCCACTATGTCAATCCATCTCATTGAGGGTCTTCCTCTTTTCTGCTGATCCTCTACCATAGCAAGCATGATGTTCTTCTCCAGGGACTGGTCTCTCCTGATAACATGTACGTGAGACGAAGTCTCGCCAGCCTCGCTTCCAAGAAGCACTCTGGCTGTACTTCTTCCAAGACAGACTTATTCAGTCTTCTAGCAGTCCACGGTATATTCAATATTCTTCACCAGCACCATAATTCAAAGGCATCAATTCTTCTTTGATCTTCCTTATTCACTGTGCAGCTTTCGCACGCATATGAGGCAACTGAAAATACCATGGCTTGGGTCAGGCGCACTTTAGCCCTTCAAGTGACATCTTTGCTTTTCAACACTTTAAAGAGGTCTTTAGCAGCAGATTTGCACAATGCAATGTGTCTTTTGATTTCTTGACTGCTGCTTCTGTGGGTGTTGATTGTTGATCCAAGTACAATGAAATTCTTGACAACTTCAATATTTTCTCTGTTCACACTAATGTTGCTTATTGGTCCAGTTGTAAGGATTTTTATTTTCTTTACATTGGGGTGTAATAATCCGTACTGAAGGCTGTAGTCTTTGATATTCATCAAAGAATTATCATGAGAATTATGTTCATTTAAATGAGGTCCAAATATCAGTCAAGTTTGAGAAAAAAACTATTGTACATGACATAAGTTACCATAAGATGTTACATGCGCACATGAAAAGGACAAAGATCAAAAAAGCAAAAAATATCATGGCAAGGAATATCAATGATCATTTTTATGAATTATGTTTCCACTCACATTACTATTATCAAAGCTAACTGCTTACATAGTAGGTTATTTTTTAATAGGTTCATTATTACATAAAACTGTGTTTGTGTTTTGTAGGGAGGTTTTGAATTTAATGTCTTTATTTTATTACTAGGGAAATAGTGTCAGGTAAGTAGTCTTAAATCAGGGGCCAGCAAACCTTTTCTGCAAAGGGCCAGACAGTAAGTATTTTAAGCTTTGTGGGCCCTACACCTTTGTCACAAGTATAACTATACAATTCTACTGTTGTAGCATGAAAGCAGCCAGAGGCAAGATGTAAACAAAGGAGCGCGGATATGGTCCACTAAAACTTTACCAAAACAGGCAGTGGGCCAGATGTGGCCAGCTGGCTTAAGCGTCCCATGTGAATGGCATGTTGTTTCATATTATTAGTTATTCAGGAGGTAAACTGATTTTCCCCCAGGGATACAAGAGGAAAATCTCAATCTCTCTATCTCTTTCAATCTCTATTTCTTTCAACATAATAATGATCTCCAACATGGACAATATGCCCCATGTGGTAGACTCAGAACTCTTATATCCAGATAACTAAGAATTCTGTCTCTTGATGAACATGCATTTCCCCATAAATCTTACTTCAAAATTACCTCTCTGGTTAAAAACTGTATCACACATCTGTGTTTA